CTGCTCACCTGGCACACTGGGCCTTGACTGCTGCTATCTGCCTGGACTTCCTAAAAATAAAGGCAAAGAACACCGCTGTAACACAGTCACCATTAAGGCTTCCCCTGCAAATGCAAACAATGACTGACCTGCACATTGGAAGTTCCTCACCCAGGACTGGAACCCACTGCCACAGATTTGAACTGTCTGCATCTGAAAGGAAGATAGGACTAGTGTCAAACAGCTGCAGAAAAACTTAACAGTACCAAACATGTTATGGCAATCTCTTAATCCAGTCTAGAGCCCAACTACACCCTGCATTACAAATTTCAAGTCCACAGGACTTGTGCTATTACAGGCTATGCAGCAGGGCAGAGCAGCTCCGGGATGAATATGTGCAGACACCCGTGACACGGCACAGGACGTGACAAACTAGGGGACAGGAGAGGGAGAGAGAGCTTTTGATGAGAAGAAAGGACCGAGAGACCCAAAGAACACAGCGTGCACCAGAGACAAGTGACAGGACACACACCGGAAATGCTCTGCCCTGTGCACCTCAGCAGAGATCAAAAAAGACACTCGCGCTTTAGGTGGCCTAAGGGGATGCTTCTTGGACATCCCCATCTCTAAAACAGACACAAAAACCCCTCCTGCGGAGCCCCAACCTGGCACCTCTCTTCCATCCCCTCTGTGGGTCGTAACCCTCGACTTATCTTGCACATATCTGGGGATGCAAATCCTCATCAGGTGCAGAAGGAGGCCTCCTGCCTGTCTGGGAAGTTCCAGCTGTCACCTCTTGGTCTGACCAGAGAAAGAAAACCAAACATCACTGCACAACCTTAACAGCACATCGGCCAAAACCTGACAATTCTGCTACTCACCGTGTCCTAAGAAACCTCGGGCCACGCACCTCAGGCGTGCTTGGAGGAGGCCGACGCCTTCATCAAAGGGTACACCTAGGTTAAGTGGAGACAAGGTGACACGGCATTGCTGAAACTTACAAGAACCCTCGCTCCTCCTCCCAACCTCCCCAACTCACCACAACTCCTCGGCCATTCCTCTGGGCTACCAGGAGGGGACCTTGAAATACAAAACCAGTAGGCTTCATCACAGGGTCCTGTAATACTTCCAGAGGGCTCATAAGTGCAGGAAACCCTGTCCATCGGCCAGCTGGTGACAAGGGCTTGGCATACTCGCAGTGGATTCCCTAAAGCACACAAACAAAAAAGCATGCTTACAGTTGCACCAAAAACTGAAACCTGAGCAAGAACAACTGCTTCTCTCCACTGCTCACCTGGCACACTGGGCCTTGACTGCTGCTATCTGCCTGGACTTCCTAAAAATAAAGGCAAAGAACACCGCTGTAACACAGTCACCATTAAGGCTTCCCCTGCAAATGCAAACAATGACTGACCTGCTCATTGGATGTTCCTCACCCAGGACTGGAACCCACTGCCACAGATTTGAACTGTCTGCATCTGAAAGGAAGATAGGACTAGTGTCAAACAGCTGCAGAAAAACTTAACAGTACCAAACATGTTATGGCAATCTCTTAATCCAGTCTAGAGCCCAACTACACCCTGCATTACAAATTTCAAGTCCACAGGACTTGTGCTATTACAGGCTATGCAGCAGGGCAGAGCAGCTCCGGGATGAATATGTGCAGACACCCATGACACGGGACAGGACGTGACAAACAAGGGGACAGGAGAGGGAGAGAGAGCTTTTGATGAGAAGAAAGGACCGAGAGACCCAAAGAACACAGAGTGCACCAGAGACAAGTGACAGGACACACACCGGAACTGCTCTGCCCTGTGCACCTCAGCACAGAGATCAAAACAGACACTTTCCCTTTAGCTGGCCTGAGGGGATGCTTCTTGGACATCCCCATCTCTAAAACAGACACAAAAACCTCTTCTAGAAAGTCCCAACCTGGCACCCCACCTCCATCCCCACTGTGGGTCATAACCCTCCACTTATCTTGCAGGCATCTGGGGATGCAAATCACTGTTGGCTGCCGAAGAAAGCCGTCTGCCTTTCTGGGAAGTTCCAGCTGTCACCCCTTGGTCTGACCAGAGAAAGAAAACCAAACATCACTGCACAACCTTAACAGCATATCGGCCAAAACCTGACAATTCTGCTACTCACCGTGTCCTAAGAAACCTCGGGCCACGCACCTCAGGCGTGCTTGGAGGAGGCCGACGCCTTCATCACAGGGTACACCTAGGTTAAGTGGAGACAAGGTGACACGGCATTGCTGAAACTTACAAGAACCCTCGCTCCTCCTCCCAACCTCCCCAACTCACCACAATTCCTCAGCCATTCCTCTGGGCTACCAGGAGGGGACCTTGAAATACAAAACCGGTAGGCTTCATCACAGGGTCCTGTAATACTTCCAGAGGGCTCATAAGTGCAGGAAACCCGGTCCATCGGCCAGCTGGTGACAAGGGCTTGGCATACTCGCAGTGGATTCCCTAAAGCACACAAACAAAAAAGCATGCTTACAGTTGCACCAAAAACTGAAACCTGAGCAAGAACAACTGCTTCTCTCCACTGCTCACCTGGCACAATGGGCCTTGACTGCTGCTATCTGCCTGGACTTCCTAAAAATAAAGGCAAAGAACACCGCTGTAACACAGTCACCATTAAGGCTTCCCCTGCAAATGCAAACAATGACTGACCTGCTCATTGGATGTTCCTCACCCAGGACTGGAACCCACTGCCACAGATTTGAACTGTCTGCATCTGAAAGGAAGATAGGACTAGTGTCAAACAGCTGCAGAAAAACTTAACAGTACCAAACATGTTATGGCAATCTCTTAATCCAGTCTAGAGCCCAAAGACACCCTGCATTACAAATTTCAAGTCCACAGGACTTGTGCTATTACAGGCTATGCAGCAGGGCAGAGCAGCTCCGGGACGAATATGTGCAGATACCCGTGACACGGGACAGGACGTGACAAACTAGGGGACAGGAGAGGGAGAGAGAGCTTTTGATGAGAAGAAAGGACCGAGAGACCCAAAGAACACAGAGTGCACCAGAGACAAGTGACAGGACACACACCGGAACTGCTCTGCCCTGTGCACTTCAGCACAGAGATCAAAACAGACACTTTTCTTCAGGTGACCTAAGGGGATGCTTCTTGGACATCCCCATCTCTAAAACAGACACAAAAACCTCTTCTAGAAAGTCCCAACCTGGCACCCCACCTCCAAACTCTCTGTGGGTCATAACCCTCCACTTATCTTGCATGCATCTGGGATGCAAATCCCTGTTGGCTGCAGAAGAAGGCTGTCTGCCTGTCCGGTAAGTTCCAGCTGTCACCTCTTGGTCTGCCCAGAGAAAGAAAACCAAACATCAGTGCACAGTCTTAGCAACACATCGGCCAAAACCTGATAATTCTGCTACTCACCATCCTCCTCAGAATGCCCAGGTCATACCCCTCAGGTGTGCTTGGAGGCTGACAGCATCATCTCCGGGTACAGAGAGGTTAAGTGGAGAGGGGGTGACGTGGCATTGCTGAAACTTGAGTGTACCCACGCTCCTCGTCCCTACCTCCCCGACTGACCGCAATTCCTTGTCCATTCCTCTGGGCTACCAGGGTGGGACCCTGAAATACAAAATTTTTAGGCTTCATCACAGAGTCCTGCTATACTTCCAGAGGTCTCATAAAGCACAGGAAACTCAGTCCATCGGCCAGTTGGTGACAGATGCTATGCATACTCTGAGGGGATTCCCCAAAGTACACAAACAAGAATGGATGCTTACAGTTGCACCAAAAACTGAAACCCGAGCAAGAACAACTGCTTCTGTCCACTGCTCACCTGGCACCCTGGGCCTTGACTGCTGCTATCTGTCTGGACCTCCTAAAAATAAAGGCAAAGAACACCGCTGTAACACAGTCACCCATTTACGCTTCCCCTGCAAATGCAAACAATGACCGACCTGCTCATTGGAAGTTCTTCATCCAGGACTGGTGCCCTCTGCCACAGATTTGAACTGTCTGCATCTGAAAGGAAGTTAGAACTAGTGTCAAAAGGCTGCAGGAAAACCTAACAGCACCAAAATTGTTATGGCAATCTCCCAATACAAATTTCAAGTCCCCAGAACTTGTGCTGTTACAAGCTATGCAGCAGGGCAGAGCAGTTGTGGGACAAATGTGGGCAGACACCCGTGACAACAGACAGGATGTGACAAACCAGGGGACAGGACAGGGAGAGAGAGCTTTCAATGAGAACAATGTCTGCAAGGACCGAGAGACCCAAAGAACACAGAACGCACCAGAGACAAGTGACAGGACACACACCGGAACTGCTCTGCCCTGTGCACCTCAGCACTGTGGTCTAAACAGACACTTTCCCTTTAAGTGGCCTAGAGGGGCACTTCTTGCACATCCCCACCCACAAAGCTGATTCCCCTCTGTGGGCCTTAGCCCTCGACTTATCTCTCCAGCATCTGGGGTTGAGAAGGCTGCCTCGCCTGCTGGGAAGGTCCTGTGGTCACCGGGCTGCGGTCCCTTGCTCAGCTACAATCAAGAACACCAAACATCACTGCATGATCTTAGCTGCACCATGGAAAAAACCCAGCAATTCTGCTACTCACCATTCTCCTCAGAGTGCGCGGTTGCTCGGGCCGCACACTTTGGCCACGTACAGAGGCTGACACCATCATCGCAGGTCCTGCCTGGGTTAAGAAGAGACAAAGTGACTTGGCATTTCTGAAACCTAATAGGACCTTGGCTCCCCTTCCCTACCTCGGTGACTCACTGCAACTCCTCGGCCATTGCCAAAGGTTACCCAGATGCCATCTTGCAATACAAAATTTAAAGCTTCATCTCAGAGTCCTAAAATACTTCCAGAGGACTCACAAGCACAGGAAACAGAGTGCATCAGCTGGTTGGTGATGGGGGCTTGGCGTATTCCAACTGTATTGCCTAAATCACAAAAAATGAGAAAGGATGCTTAGAGTCGCACCAAAAACTGAAACCTGAGCAAAAATAACTGAAAAAAAAAACTAGGGGACAGGAGAGGGAGAGAGAGCTTTTGATGAGAAGAAAGGACCGAGAGACCCAAAGAACACAGAGTGCACCAGAGACAAGTGACAGGACACACACCAGAACTTCTCTGCCCTGTGCACCTCAGCACTGAGATCAAAACAGACATTTTCCCTTTAGGTAGCCTAAGGGGACGCTTCTTAAACATCCCCATCTCCAAAACTGACTCAAAAACCCCCTGGGGAGTCCCAACCCGGTACCTCTCTCCCATCCCCTCTGTGGGTTGTAGCCCTTGAGTTAACTTGCACATATCTGGGGATGCTAATCCCCATCAGGTGCAGAAGGAGGCCTCCTGCCTGCCTGGAAAATTCCAGTGGTCAACAGGCTGCTCTCTCTTGGTCTGCCAAGACAAAGAAAACCAAACATCACTGCACAACCTTAACAGCACATCGGCCATAACCTGATAATTCTGCTACTCACCATCTCCTCAGAATGCTTGGGCCACAGAGTTCAGGTGAGCTTGGAGGCCGACGCCATCATCTCAGGGTACACCTAGATTAAGTGGAGACAAGGTGATGTGGCTATGCTGAAACATGAGTGGACCATCTTTGCTCCTCCCTACCTCCCTGCATTACCGCTACTCCTCGGCCACTCCTCTGGGTTACCCAGATGGGACCTTGAAATGCAAAATTCGAAGACTCCGTCACAGGACCCTGTAATACTTTCAGCGAGATCACAAGTGCGTGAAACCTAGTCCATCAGCCTGGTGGTGACAGAGGTATGTGTACTCCGAGCCGATTCCCTAAAGAACAAAAATAAGAATGGATGCTTACAGATGCACCAAAAACTGAAAGTTGAGCAAAAACAACTGCTTCTGTCCACTGCTCACCTTGGACACTTGGCCTTGACTGCTGCTATCTGCCTGGACCTCCTAGAAATAAAGGCAAAAAACACCTCTGTAACACAGTCACCATTTAAGCTTCCCCTGCAAATACAAACAATGACAGACCTGCTCATAGCAACAACCTCCCCCAGGCTGGGGCCCTCTGGCACTGATTTGAATTGTCTGCATCTGAAAGGAAGTTAGGACTAGTGTTGAACGGCTACAGGACAACTTAACAGCACCAAATGTCTTACGTCAATCTCCTAATACAATCTAGAGCTCAACTATGCCCTGCATTACAAATTTCAAGTCCCCAGGACTTGTGCTATTACAGGCTATGCAGCAGGGCAGAGCAGCTCCAGGACAAATATGTGCAGACACCCGTGACACAGGACAGGATGTGACAAACGAGGGGACAGGACAGGGAGAGAGAGCTTTCAATGAGAAAAAAGGACCGAGAGACCCAAAGAACACAGAGTGCACCAGAGACAACTGACAAGACACACACCAGAACTGCTCTGCCCTGCACACCTCAGCACTGAGATCAAAACAGACACTTTCCCTTTAGGTGGCCTAAGGGGACGCTTCTTGGACATCCCCATCTCCAAACCTGACTCAAAATCCCCTCCGGGGGAATCCCAACCTGGTACCTTTCTTCCTTTCCCTCTGTGGGTTGTAGCCCTTGACTTATCTTGCACATATCTGGGGATGCAAATCCCCATCAGGTGCAGAAGGAGATCACTGCTCCCATCCCCAGGCCATGGCCCTGACTTATCTTTTGGATGACTGGAAATGCAAATCCACGTTGGACCTGAAATGAGTCTGCCTCGGAGGGGATTGCCTGTTAGCCTCTTAGTCAGCTAGAATAAAGAACGGGAAAATCAATGGTTGAGTTTAGTGTTATGTGGGCCAAATCCCATCAAGTCAGATACTTATCCTCTCCTGAGTGTGCCTGGGTGCTCAAGTCTCCAGCTCCATCCCTAGTCTAAGGTTTGGCTGTTATTACGTGTGGCACCTGGGTTAGAGAGGCAAAGTTACATGGCATTTCTGTGAGTTCAGCGGATAAGCTTGTGTGCTGTATGACACATGAATGCCTCAGCTAAGCTTGTGAAAAGCCTTGCAAATAGACACCATTTCTCACCCTACTGCCTGCAAACCCCCACCATGATAACTCTTAACTGGGTACCCTGCTCACTCTCCCACTCCTAGCCACAATCCTCAACTCATCTGAAACCTCAATCTTAGACAGCATCTTTGACACAGGGCAGATCCCTTCTGTGACATGATGAATCTGCTGTAAAAATGTTGTACTCAACACAACCTGGAATTACAGGAAGTTGCACTCCTCCTAAAAAAAACCAAAAAAGCAACAAAAAACAAATCAGAGATCACAAAAGCACTTCACCACCCCCAAATACACAACCCCAAATCATGAAATTAAATACTCCCTGTGTTCAGCATCATTTTCTTCACAGTATCTTCAAAGCCTCTGTTGCATTAGAAGCCCAAAAGCACCTGAAGAGAACACGCTAATCAGAAAGAGACTCTTCACCAAAATGAGAGGAGAGCTCTTACCCCAGCTGATCCCAGAGAGGGAATGAAGCCTCTTGGCAAAGCCTGGGGTTAATATACCCCTGATTGGGCCCGCCTCTCATTCCCATGACACCCAGGAAAAGGGAGGGGGCAAACCCCACCGGGTATAAAGGCCTTCAGAGCAGCTACAGCTGTTTGGCTCCTCTGATTTGAATTCAAGGGGAATAAAGGGCTGGATATAGAAGAAAACTCTTCAGGGAAATGACAGCGCTTTCTTTTTTGCTACATCTACTTGGAGCAAAAGAGCAAGAAAACTGGTAAGAAATAAAACTTTGTATTTTGGCAGCATATCTAGATAAGTGGGGTAATTTGCTATCAACTTCTTTAATTATTCCTCAGTGACTACTAAGTGGTACTCAACATGAGACTAAGGGTAGAGTGCGGCTTTCGGGGGTCACTTGTGGCTGTCCCCCGTCCCTCCCCCACCCCCCGGGACCTCTCAGGCTAGCTGTCCCCTTTGGGGACCGGGGTTTGCCGCGGTCCTGCTCCACTGGGCTTACCGGGCAGCGGCTGGGTTAGCATGGTCCGAGCGGCTGTGGCGCCTCAATCGCCGCAAGGAGTCGAGATAAAGAGACAAAGAGAGGTCAATTGTTTGCGGTCCAGAGAGATTGTATTGCCTGAACGGTTGCAGGGACAAAAGACCCTGGGCTACTGCCCAGATACAGTTTTAAACAGCAAAATGAGGAGATAAGGTCTAAACAATAGAGACAGTGTCCAGCATGGGCTCATCAGAACCACCCCATGGGTCAGGTCCAATGGGAACTTCTCAGGGGTGGGGAGAAGGGGGTTTACAGAAAGGTGCTGAAGCGAAACTTTCCCGAAACAATGGGGCATACATAAATGTATCTTTTCCTCATACCTAAATGTATCTTTTCCTCAGTTTCCAATTCCCAAGGCCTTTCTAAATCCCTTCCTCCGCACTACCGCAGCAGCGCGATAACAACAGTAGAGAAGAATACTAATTATATGAACAGTCTAAGCCTCCTTGGGGCTACTAATTAGGGCTAACTACATTATAAATAAAAATAAGAAAAAAAAAAAATAGGCTCCTGGGCAGTATAAAGGTTAAGTACATGCTAGGCTTGCCTTTCCCTGAGATATTTAGTCCTAGGGCACAGAAAGAAATGCCCTGAAAGGTAGTTTTAAACCCTTAAAATGCTGAAAAAGCATTTTAGAAGAGGCTCCTTCAAGTGAATCCTTTAAAATGAGGAAATGGGGAAGTTACCTCCACTGAAATGGATACAATGGCAAATAAATGGCTTCTGCCCTTTTATTTAATCCCCTAGAATATTGGGAAAACAGAAGTTTTCCTCGCTTTAAATCTCTCCAGTAACAAAGACTGAGGGATGTTACCCTCAATTCAAACCTTTAAGAAAGAGGGCTAGCTGGGCTTCCCCCTCAATTTAAGCCTTAGGACAACAAAAAGTGTTACCCTTAATTCAAACCCATAAAAAACGTTTTCAAGGTTTTCCCCTTCTATTTAAACTGGAAAATAATGGAAAATGGGAATTCCTTATCAATTAACTCCCCTAACAACATAGAAAAGGCAGGGATTCTTTCAACTGAGACCATTAAAATTGGAGGGGAAGTG